ACTTTGTTTACTAATCTAAAAGTCTAGATACATATATTTTATTTTATTTTATAACCGTCGTTGAACAGCAGACCCAATTTTAGGTTTATGACTACCAATGTTCAACTCAGCCTATTACTTTTGAACCCAATCCAGAAGACAAGGGAACACCTGGATCAAGTAGGGGTAATAATTTGGCCTCATTTAGTATTTTTTGATAGAACTAACCCGCATTTGCGTTACGCGGAAAGAAAAACCACGGAAACCTCCCACGGTTAGTCTGACTGCAAGGGGACTCAAATCCATGATCCTTCTACCACTGAGGATATTTTACGTCAACAATGGGGTTGGTGCGACCTGGGTGCAAAATCTGAATCGAACAGCCCTCGCTGGGATTCGAATCCTGTTCATCTCATTGGGAGGTGATTCTATCTCCTGAGCCACCGTGACTCCGCTATATACATATAAATCAAATGACCGGTCAATACATTCTTATTGTACAAATATGGTATGACCCAATTTTATCACATAATAGGTTTTTTAAGGCCATTATATATATTTTTTTCGTTATTAACAGAATAAAATTGATAAAAATGATCAAAGTGTTATTTACCTGTAAAATATTTTTATCCATTGTTCATAAATATTTATCTGTTTTATTTTTTATCATTTATTTTAACGTTTGTTTTATCATTATTTCGAAATAAAGTCTTTCAACTAACAGCCTAATTTCATTATTATAAAGTAATTCCTTGATAATACCTTATTACATTTTATAATTAAGGTGTTTAAATCGATATTTAAGCTCGTTAATTATTTTAGAATTATTAAGCAGTAAATAAGCTGCACTTTCTAAAATTATAAGTTTTGTTTAAAACTGTATCCTGTAAGCATATGGAACTAATCTAATAAATACGAAATTGTAAAGTATGTTGAGAATTAACTTATGGCATTATTGCTAAATATTCTCTTGAACAAAAAACATTTAACTAGATTTTAAAGTAACTAAAAAGAAATTTTAAGGAAATTTTTACTTAACGAAATGATTAAGTTTATATTTTATTTCAATAGAATTGATAACAAATGTTTGAAGCAAAATCTGTTTAAATACAATGGAGGAGAGGTTTGATACGCGAACGAGTTGCAGAAGAAGTGCCTTGCTTCAATAAAAACTGCGAAAAAGTTTTGCAAAAAAGCTATACCAGGGAATGATTTAACGGGTATATAACGTCTGTCTATATTAAACTTACTCAAAAGTATCTCGTGAAACACGTTAAAAAATTTCATCTATATAATATTTATTTTTGCTGCAATTTTCACAACATGGACTATTATTTTTTTTAATTCAATCAAAATATTCTATTGCATTAAGTATATAAATATCTGTTGCATTATATCAAAATATTCTGTTGCATTAAATATAAATAAAGCATCTGGACCTTCCAAAAAATATGATGTAGAAAACACACTCAAACAATTCAATTAACTTGATAAACCTGGGAGCTACACGATATAATGTATTGTAATTTCCAGATAATAAGTTAGACTAAATTTATATTTTTCTTAATTTTGAAAAAATTACATATATGAATTAAATATTTCCATTCTTAGAAACTGCGATGATGATTTTGACAGTTTTTACTGAAAGAAATTATAAAACGAACTTCAACTAATAATTTTCAAGTTTTTTTTCTTCTTCTTAAAAAACACTTTTATCCAATTCTTAAACAAATCCCTTTTTTAAAACCTTAGGATTACAGAAGTAATCGTAAGGTCTTAAAAATTAAATAATTATATAAAGCTTAATAATTCAAATTTGCATGACATTCAAAACTTTGATATTTTAAATTCATAAAGGCAAATACAACAATGGTTTTAACAATGACAAATATACAATTTTGGTTAATTCATGCTTGTATGTGTAAAAGATTTTGTTCAAAATTGTATGCAAATATTTGTATATTGGGAACTTTAACAGTGTTTCAAATTTTAACAAAAAAAACAATCTTTCTATCACAGTCTTAATGAGTTAGAAAGCTTTTAAATGTTTTTTTAATTGCATACAATTTGTTCGCAATTAGTTTTAATCAAAAACATTCCATCAAAAGTAGTGATTGTGCAGAATGTCATGGTCATTTCAAATGCGACAGCTAATAATTTGTAAAAATTATATAAACCGGCTCTTCGAGGTATAAAGTGAATGCAACAATTTTGATTTGAAGTGTAGCACATTCTAAAGAAACCAACTTAACGAAACACCACAAAAAATATCCCGTAAAAAACTGATAAAAAAAATCGGAATTACTTATGCTAATAGAAGTCATAAGTTCATTTAAATGAAGCTGGGTTATAAAATTATGGCTGCGCAACGTCATTTTTATATTTTTGTAATTCTTCCTCATTTCCTTATGGCGAAAGGGGTTGAAAGTCATCTAACTGCAAATTTCTTTTTTTTTCTTTTCTTTTTTATTCATTTTTTCCTAGGGCGAGGTCATACAATACCTATTTACACGTGTCGAAGGCAGGTAATTGCATCTTCCTCATTACCTGTTACGGCGGATTCTTTGAATAATATAATATCAATCTCTTAATGCCTTCAAATTTAAATTATAATTTGAAAAAATAATCTCACATTAAGTAATGCAATTTTACCCCTCAAAAATCTTTCGAAATGATAAAATGTGCATCCATATTGCAATATATAATTACTTGGTTTTCTTGCAGTAGTGAGTTTTAGGCTAAATATTTTGACTAGATAATGAAAAAGAGGAAATATTAATGTTGGCAATGAGTATAGGAATTTACAATTATAAAACTTCATGGTATATCAATTTAAAAAAATTAATTTTCTTATGTCATCTATCTGCTACGTAAGGTAAACTTTTTTAGGTAAATTAACCTTAAATCAACTCTGAAAATGGTGCCATTGTTACCGTTTCGATAACTTTCACTGACGAAAAAAGTCCCATTATATTTTCGTTAATAAGTAAACAAAATCGAGATTCATTTGTTTGCAATAAGCATGAAATTAAAACAAAAATACTGTGTTTTTTGTCTGTAAATTATTTATTTATTTCAAATTCTGCCATATTTGACTACAATAATAATTTATCATCTTTTTGTACACTATGAAGTAATAAATTAAATTTTGAATCATTTTTTGAAATAAATAATAATCGTTCACTTCTCATGATTTCACGCTTATTGTTTTACATTTATTAAAAGTTAAATTTATTTAAGTGAATATTTATATATTTATTTAAGAGAATATCTATTTAATATTTATAATTAATAATAATATTTAATATCTAACATCTATATAATAAGCGAATATCTAATAATATCTACTGAAGTGAAACAAGGGAAAAAATTTAGTCTGCAAAAATCAAACTAAGCAACATAAAAAAACGCCACATTAAAAGACATACTATAGTTCCGGTTCTACAATTTTCTTCTGCATCTCAGTATTTCCAACTTATCTTTTATTGAGTTTAAAAATTGATAAAAGTTCTTGATTATAGAATCAAAGCCCAGGTATATCTTTCATGTGATAATATTTGCACTTGTTTATCACGTTGTTTAACTTTATTCAAATAAAATATACTTCAACAATTAATTAATTACATGCAAGACTATGTCCTGTGCCATGGTTTTAATTAAAATATAATGGAATCGGGAATTAAATTTGTGATATCAAATCTGTGATATCAAATCTGTGATCGATAAACATATAATTTTAAAATTACTTAATGTAAGTAAACAAAAATAATTGCGCAGCAATCTGGGGGTACGTGAACGAAGCGGGTAGGAGTGGAGCTCCCTAGAACTGTCCTAGATATTAAGTTAATCGCTAAATGCGTGTGTTATTGAAAATTCAGAAAAAAATATAACTGCTATGTTACTAACCAGCTATATTACTATTATCATTCAAATTCAGTTAACGAAAAAAAGCTAAAGTATTTTTTAAGTTGAAGTATTTTTAAAGTTAAAGTATTTTTAAAGAATCTGAATTCTTACAATGAAACAAAGGATTTCTATATAAATATTTTCAACAAAGGATATTCTCAACTGAGCATCGTAACTGTAAAAATATATTTTTTTTAATAATTTTAAAATATCACAAAACAATAATTACTAAGAGAAAAAAAAATTCAGGTATAATTATTGTACTGTAAAATAGTAACATTCCTAGTAAAAAAAAGGCAATTCTGGTGATAAAAACTAAAAAACATGGTATTGAAACCCTTTTTTTGGTAAATCTTCTATTCATGTGATAACGGTTTGCTAGAAATTCTGGCTTTCAAAATTATAGTTCGTATTGCCATTCATTTAGTAAAAGATACAATCCCGAAAAGGAAATTATTCCGAATAAATTGGTTTTTATACTATGCTTTAAGGTATCATTATGAAATTACCGTTTTGTACCATATTTACTAAAATTTATCTCATAAAACCATATTTAATAATTGATATGACAAAAAACATCACCAAAGCACTTCGGTAAAAATTACCAAGATTTTTGGTGTTCCCATAGAGCCAGAAATATACTAGTTTTTACAATATTCAGGGTAGTTTTGATCATTCTTTTATTTCTCGGGGTGTTCAAAGGCTACCATAAAGCATGTTCTACAAAAGTTTTAAATCGTTCTTGTAGATATTGCTATATCTAGCACAATTATCTGTTCTTAAATTGAAAATGCGTCAATATATTTCATTCCTTTGTATAATCATCTCCCGTATTATTCAGAAAACTTTTTAAAATCCATACCTTTCAAGTTGATGTAAACTGTAGACATTTTAATAATTCAGAATTATTTATTTTAAAAAAAAGTAAATGAATATCTTTATTCCAAAGATTTGATGATTTTCAGGCGCAGGTAAGTTGACTACTAAAAATAAAACACAAGCTTTTTAACTCTTTATTCAATGGTCATTATTTTTAAAACATTTCTATTTCTTAAATCATAAAGGTATTTTTCACTAAAAAGTTGTCCTTAAATGTTCTATTTGTACATTTTCAGTGGTGGATGCCACGGGAAAGCCACCTAGTGGAGTTTTCCAGGGTACAACCATGTCTTTAGGAGATTTTGACGAATGTATCAATGTTAGGGTTGGAAAATTAGGTAAAGAGCCACTTCCTGGAGAAAGAGAATATTTTCATGGAAAATATTGCACAGTAGAGTGCAAATTGCCAAAAGGAATACTTGACGCAATTGATGAATTTGAAAGTGTCCCACCAGCACAGAGACACAACACGTCTATTGGGACATCGAAAACGGTAATATTATATATTTTAATTGTTATACGGGAGTATACTGATACGCCTTACGTATATATTGATATTTTGTATTAATATATATATCATTATTACAACTCAAAACAAAAGAATATAAATACCTACATAAAACCAAAAAACACCCTAATAAACAATATTTATTAACAGAAATATAAACGAAAAATTATCTGTTTAAAAAAATTTTCAATTACTAGATTACTTTTTATAGATATGTAGAGCATTGAAGGTAAAAACTTAATGGTACCCCTAAGCTTGCAAACTGTGTGAGTTTGTAACATTTCAAACGAGTCACTTAGGCTCAGAATATGAGAAACTGAACTCTCATTTTGAAAAACTGAGTGCTAGTTTGTGACACCTAAAATGAGTCCCAATGACGCAGAAATGAAGAAATTGAGCGATCATTTTGAAGGTCTGTGTGCTAGTTTGTGACATCGACAAAGAGTCCCAATGGAGTAAAAATTCAGAAACTAAGTTGTCGTGTTGAAGGTGCATTCTCAATGGTAGGAGGAAGTGAACAAACTAACTTGAGAAATACCGGTGAGCAGTGTTGAACACATTGTCACCTGTATGTTGTTAGTTTTAAGTTGTGCTGACTTAAGCACAATGAGTCGCCTGGTGTTTAACAAGAAAAGGTAAGACCGGTTAGTGAAATTAGAATGGGTACCTCAATCGTATCAAAATTAGTTCTGTTTTCTAGAGGATAAACTCTGAATTTCACTTTACTGTTTAAGAAGAATTACCTACCCTATTGGCGTGTTACTGTTGATCACTTTACGGTGTGTCCGTCGATACGTTTGCTTTGCTAAGAAAACACTCTAATGTTCTTAAACTAGCCTTGTTTATTGGTCAATACAGTAATAAATATTCTTTTTTTGTCCTGATTATTATACGTTAAAGCAAGATTCACAACCTAACAAAAAATAAGTATTCAGTCCAAAAGTTGCACTCTTCTCTTATAACCTCTTTGTTACAGACCCTTTCCCGCTCGATTTATGTTTATTCTGGGCCAACGAAAGCTGCAACGTAGTGAAGGAAGAAGAGGACTACATCCTAGGTTGAAAAAATCGTTTGACAACCTCTAACTTTTTTAAGACCTCTACGCAAAATTGCAGTTTTGCTTATTTATAAGTTCTTTGCAGTTTTGTCTTAAAAATCTGATTAATAAATACTATATTTTTATAAGGAAATTTCATCGGACTCTCTGCAGTCCCGACTCGGGATAATTCTCCCTGTCTTCCCCCTCCATGAGTAAGGCCTTGACAACATCACGTGTAAATTACATGGGCAATTATCTTAAAATGTCTTATAAAATAAAAATGTTTTCTACTTCTCCATAGAAACTCTAGTATTTCGAAATTTCCCATTGAGCAAACATGTGCACTCGGTTAAACTGGAGGATTTGACTTTATCTAGAAAGAAAATAACCTATAGAAAAAGTAGTAAATCTATGACTTTTCAAGAATGATATATAGCACATAACTAACCAATGAATTAAATCTGACAATTTTGGGCTCAAACTGTCTTGCCTTCGAATGTTGGTAACCCGGAATTAACCCACTTTCCCCTGTATGTTACGGAAATGTTACGACTTTATATTTCCTAGTTATTTCAACGATTTTTTTTTCTTCAACATTGTAAAACATTAAAAGATTGTTTCATTTTGTGACATTAAACTTTATTTTACCGCTAAATTTATGAATCAAATTAATTTTAAGAAATTTACAGGAAATATTGTCATTACTCATCATCTTAAGTTGTCTTGATTGTTTTGCAAATTTTCGCGGAACAAACATTAGCGAAAATCTTTAAATTATTATTTTTACAAATTATTACTTTATTTCTTTCATCTTTAATAACACAAAATAGTGCTGTACAGTAACAATTTATCTTTATTAACACAATACGGCTATTATTAAATATCGCTGTTTGCTATTTTTAATAAATGTGTTATTCACTGGAAGTAAGTGCTATTGCAAGTGTTATAACCCGTTATACCCTACACTGATGTTTTTTTTTAAGTTTAAGAGCAACTGCAAAGTACACATTTGCCTAGTACATTACTATATTGATGATATTTTATACATTTTTTTAAAGTTTAAATGCCTTAAATGAAAAGGAAAACTTAAGAAGAATAAACAGTGAATCAAAACAGTTTAGCACAAAGTATTTGCACAACAGATGAACAACGAACACAAAGAGTGGGTGTCTTCATCCGAAGTAAATAAGCAATTGACATTGTCAAGCTGTTTGGGCTGGAAATTACAATTAATCATGCACATTGGAATTATAACTAAAACGTTGAAAATTTTTGCATTAACCAAACTTTATTAGTAACTATTAATAATAACCGGTAAATGAGACAAATTCTTAGCCACTTTGACCAGAGATTAACCACTTTGATTGACATACTTGGTTATTATTAATAATAATCAACAATTTATCAAATGTGTTTTCAAATACAACAGTGGTTATTAATCAGAAATTAGAGTTTCTAAGCACTCCACTATTGTTTTGATAAATTCGAAATCTGATTTTCTCATATTCTCAAAAACTTTACTTATTAAAAATAACCGATTATTAGTAATTGCCGATAACAAATATACACTAAATATAGCTAGTATTTAAATTTGAAGATATGTAATTATTTTGTAGTATGATATACACGAGATCTTGTAGTGCTTTATATACTATTGAAACACAATAGTTATTAAAAATATAATATAAATTATTATGCCTTTAATAACCTTTCAAATGTCTTTAATAGCCGCAATTGCTACTAAATATTTATTTTCGAACAATAAGTCTGAAAATAATGCATTGCAAATTATAGAAGATAGTTCAATACCAGCGTTGGTTGGCATGACAAATACTGCTTTAGGTTCTCAGTCACATAATTTAAAATATGCAAACCTTGTTTGTTCTTAATTTGTCTAGACATGAGGATAATATAAGAGTGAAGATTTATTTTTAACTCTCTATTCCTTAAACATTGTTACTTATTTTCACCTAAGGTTACTAATAATTATATTTTCTCTGCACATTTTGAGACAAGATATTTCCTTGGCTAACGTAATAAAAGAGCTGAAAACAATAAACTAGGAAGAATATTATACACAAAGTTTATTCTAGTTTCCTGTTTAAAAAAATTATTATAATGTCGTATCAAATTAGGTCTTTAGTACGTAAAAAATGAAATTATAAATTTAAAAAAAAATTATTTCCAGTTTTTATAAAAATATAGTTTCATTTTTACTTTTCTTATAGCATGCAGTTCCTAGAAATAAATCTGAAATATTTTTTCCTCTTTTAATTTTTTTTTCTTTTATAGTCAATTCTTTTTCAAGCTGCTTACGAAACACTTTAATAAATAATGTTTTGTTTAGTCGTAAAGCTCGAACAAGACCACTTTTTCTATCTCGTCTCTGATAGGTTTAATAAGTAATTTTCAAAAAATACTGTCTTAAATTTTAAGAGCCTGTTAATTAGGAAAAGAATACACTTACGACAGGTTGGTTTTTTTTCTTTTGTTATTCGTTATTTTTTTAATATTTTATTTAATATTAGTTGAAAAACTTTTCAATCGTAACGCATACAGTTACTTACATAGCTTTGAAAAATGCAATTTTAAATAGCAAATTTTTGCAAAATTGATTGAATAGTTTGTAGGATATGGAATTTGAGAAAAATTGTACAGTTAAAATGCAATTTCTTTGGAACTATTTGACCGATTTTGCCAAACTTTTAAAATTTGCCATGCAAAAGTACATCCTTTAAAATAATGTGAAAATTTTTATACTAAAATTAAACCTACTACTTATTACTTGAACTTTACTTAATTAAACTTATTTTACACTCGAAATATTTTCGACTCTTGTAAATAATATTATATTATTTTGTAACCGTCGTTGAACAGCCGACCCAATTTCATGGGTTTACGACTACTAATGTTCAACTCCGTTGCCGTTCTAAAATTAATTGCGAT